GCTCGCTGAATGGATACAAAAACATAACCCATATATATGCTGTCTACAAGAGACCCACTTCAGACCTAGGGACACATACAGACTGGAAGTGAGGGGATGGGAAAAGATATTCCACGCAAATGGAAATCAAAAGAAAAAAAAAAAAAAGAAAGCTGGAGTAGCTATACTCATATCAGATAAAATAGACTTTAAAATAAAGAATGTTACAAGAGACAAGGAAGGACACTACATAATGATCAAGGGATCAATTCAAGAAGAAGATATAACAATTATAAATATATATGCACCCAACATAGGAGCACCTCAATACGTAAGGAACTGCTGAGAGCTATAAAAGAGGAAATCGACAGTAATACAATAATAGTGGGGGACTTTAACACCTCACACCAATGGACAGATCATCCAAAATGCAAATAAATAAGGAAACAGAAGCTTTAAATGACACAATAGACCAGATAGATTTAATTGATATTTATAGGACATTCCATCCAAAAACAGCAGATTACACTTTCTTCTCGCGCATGGAACATTCTCCAGGATAGATCACATCTTGGCTCACAAATCAAGCCTCAGTAAATTTAAGAAAATTGAAATCATATCAAGCATCTTTTCTGACCACAACACTATGAGATTAGAAATGAATTACAGGAAAAAAAAAACATAAAAAACACAAACACATGGAGGTTAAACAGTACGATACTAAATAACCAAGAGATCACTGAAGAAATCAAAGAGGAAGTCAAAAAATACCTAGAGACAAATGACAATGAAAACACGACTATCCAAAACCTATGGGATGCAGCAAAAGCAGTTCTAAGAGGGAAGTTTATAGCTATACAAGCCCACCTCAAGAAACAAGAAAAATCTCAAACAATCTAACCTTACACCTAAAGGAACTAGAGAAAGAAGAACAAACAAAACCCAAAGTAAGCAGAAGGAAAGAACTCATCAAGATCAGAGCAGAAATAAATGAAATAGAAACAAAACAATAGCAAAGCTCAATAAAACTAAAAGCTGGTTCTTTGAAAAGATAAAGAAAATTGATAAACCATTAACCAGACTCATCAAGAAAAAGAGGGAGAGGACTCATAAATCAACAAAATTAGGAATTAAAAAGAAGTTAAAACAGACACCACAGAAATACAAAGCATCCTAAGAGACTACTACAAGCAACTCTATGCCAATAAAATGGACAACCTGGAAGAAATGGACAAATTCTTAGAAAGGTATAACCTTCCAAGACTGAACCAGGAAGAAATAGAAAATATGAACAGACCAATCACAAGTAATGAAATTGAAACTGTGATTAAAAATCGTCCAACAGACAAAAGTCCAGGACCAGATGGCTTCACAGGTGAATTCTATCAAGCATTTAGAGAAGAGCTAACACCCATCCTTCTCAAACTCTTCCAAAAAATTGCAGAGGAAGGAACACTCCCAAACTCATTCTACGAGGCCACCATCACCCTGATACCAAAACCAGACAAAGACGTCACAAAAAAAGAAAACTACAGGCCAATATCACTGATGAACATAGATGCAAAAATCCTCAACAAAATACTAGCAAACAGAATCCAACAGCACATTAAAAGGATCATATACCATGATCAAGTGGGATTCATCCCAGGGATGCAAGGATTGTTCAATATACGCAAATCAATACACCACATTAACAAATTGAAGAATAAAAACCATATGATCATCTCAATAGATGCAGAAAAAGCTTTTGACAAAATTCACCCATTTATGATTAAAAACTCTCCAGAAAGTGGGCATAGAGGGAACCTACCTCAACATAATAAAGGCCATGTATGACAAACCCACAGCAAACATCGTTCTCAATGGTGAAAAACTGAAAGCATTTCCTCTAAGATCAGGAACAAGAAAAGGATGTCCGCTCTTGCCACTATTATTCAACACAGTTTTGGAAGTCCTAGCCACGGCAATCAGAGAAGAAAAAGAAATAAAAGGAATACAAATTGGAAAAGAAGAAGTAAAACTGTCACTGTATGCAGATGACATGATACTATACATAGAGAATCCTAAAAATGCCACCAGAAAACTAGAGCTAATCAATGAATTCGGTAAAGTTGCAGGATACAAAATTAATGCACAGAAATCTCTTGCATTCCTATACACTAATGATGAAAAATCTGAAAGAGAAATTAAGGAAACACTCCCATTTACCACTGCAACAAAAAGAATAAAATACCTAGGAATAAACCTACCTAGGGAGACAAAAGACCTGTATGCAGAAAACTGTAAGACACTGATGAAAGAAATTAAAGATGTTACCAACAGATGGAGAGATATAACATGTTCTTGGATTGGAAGAATCAACATTGTGAAAATGACTCTACTACCCAAAGCAATCTACAGATTCAATGCAATCCTTATCAAATTACCAATGGCATTTTTTACGGAACTAGAACAAAAAATCTTAAAATTTGTATGGAGACACAAAAGACCCCGAATAGCCAAAGCAGTCTTGAGGGAAAAAAACAGAGCTGGAGGAATCAGACTCCCTGACTTCAGACTATACTATAAAGCTACAGTAATCAAGACAATATGGTACTGGCACAAAAACAGAAACATAGATCAATGGAACAAGATAGATAGCTCAGAGATAAACCCACGCACCCATGGTCAACTAATCTATGACAAAGGAGGCAAGGATATACAATGGAGAAAAGACAGTCTCTTCAATAAGTGGTGCTGGGAAAACTAGACAGCTCATGTAAAAGAATGAAATTAGAGCATTCCCTAACACCATACACAAAAGTAACTCAAAATGGATTCGAGGGCTTCCCTGGTGGCACAGTGGTTGAGAGTCCACCTGCTGATGCAGGGGACATGGAGCAGCTAGGCCCGTGAGCCATGGCCACTGAGCCTCCATGTCCGGAGCCTGTGCTCCGCAATGGGAGAGGCCACAATAGTGAGAGGCCTGTGTACCGCAAAAAAAAAAAAAAAAAAAAAAAAATGGATTCAAGACCTAAATGTAAGACTGGACACTATAAAACTCTTAGAGGAAAACATAGGAAGTACACTCTTTGACATAAATCACAGCAAGATCTTTTTTGATCCACCTCCTAGAGTAAAAACAAAAATAAACAAATGGGACCTAATGAAACTTATAAGCTTTTGCACAGCAAAGGAAACCATAAACAAGATAAAAAGACAACCCTCAGAATGGGAGAAAATATTTGCAAACGAATCAACAGACAAAGGATTAATCTCTAAAATATATAAACAGCTCACGCAGCTCAATATTAAAGAAACAACCCAATCAAAGAATGGGCAGAAGACCTAAATAGACATTTCTCCAAAGAAGACATACAGATGGCCAAGAGGCACATGAAAAGCTGCTCAGCATCACTAATTATTAGAGAAATGCAAATCAAAACTACAATGAGGTATCACCTCACACTAGTGAGAATAGGCATCGTCAGAAAATCTACAAACAACGAATGCTGGAGAGGGTGTGGAGAAAAGGGAACCCTCTTGCACTGTTGGTGGGAATGTAAATTGATACAGCCACTATGGAGAACAGTATGGAGGTTCCTTAAAAAACTAAAAATAGAATTACCATATGACCCAGCAATCCCACCACTGGGCATATACCCAGAGAAAACCATAATTCAAAAAGACACATGCACCCCAATGTTCATTGCAGCACTATTTACAATAGCCAGGTCATGGAAGCAACCTAAATGCCCATCGACAGACGAATGGATAAAGAAGTTGTGGTACATATATATAATGGAATATTACTCAGCCATAAAAAGGAACAAAATTGAGTCATTTGTTGATACGTGGATGGATCTAGAGACTGTCATACTGAGTGAAGTAAGTCAGAGAAAAACAAATATCGTATATTAATTCATGTATGTGGAATCTAGAAAAATGGTACAGATGAACTGGTTTGCAGGGCAGAAGTTGAGGCACAGATGTAGAGAACAAACGTATGGACACCAAGGGGGGAAAACTGGAGGGGGGTGGGGATGGTGGTGTGTGTGCTGAATTGGGCAATTGGGATTGACATGTATACACTGATGTGTATAACACTGATGACTAATAAGAACCTGCTGTATAAAAAAAAAATTAAAAAATATAATAACACCAGTCCAGCTGGTTCCATATATTTCAGTGACTCGAATCCCTCACCCTGGCCTCGGCCTTCAATTTCCAAATGCATTCACTTTGATTACCTAAGCTTGTCTTCTCTTGGTGTCATTGATACTGGTAGGCAGTGAAATTAGCTTTTTCCGACTCTAGGTATTTCTTCCATTTCCTCTTGAGTATTGTAGTTTCTTTCTTTCCCTTTTCTGAGTCTTGGGTCAAGTGTGCCAGATGACAACATGACAAAAGTTCAGTGACAAAAGCCATGGGAACAGGTAGAAGCAGCTGAACAGGAGGATGTGGCAAAGGAGTGGAGGAGCTTGTCGTGCTTCATTTTTCATAATGTCACACCGGACCTGAGTCTAAAGCCTGGAACTTGGCTTCACATTCCAAGTTCCAATTCTGGCTCTGTGCTCACTGGAAGAGTGATATTGACAGGTTCTTAACCCTTTTGAGGCTCAGTTTCCCCATTTGTAAAATAGAGATAACAAGAAAGTCTAACCTCATAGGGTTATTAACTAAGCTCGTGTAAAATACACAGCACAGTGCCTGCCACCTGATAGGTGCTCAGTAAATATGTGTTCCCACGCCATCATTCAGTTCTTGTAACTGCTCAATCAATGGTAGTTATTATTAGGCTCATTACTTGGGAACACCTGCCTATAATTTTTTATTTTATATTCATTATATCATTTATTTAACAGTTTTTATTTTCTGAAAAAGAACATCTTCCCAACATTTGGTGTTTTTAGAAGTGTCAATCTTCACTGTCCTTTTTTCCTTCACTGTCCTTTTCACAGATGCATGATTTTCTTTTGATATTGACTGATTTTTGTATTATTTCCATTTAATTTTCATCACGTCTATCATTTCAAATCCAGGATCCTCATGGAAGATCTTCAGAAAGTGCTGGAAAAGGGAAGCAGTTTGCCAACCCAGAGAAGTCGAAGATCCGTCTCTGGATATAATTATGAAGTTTATCACTCCTTAGAAGAAGTATGTAATCAAAGGACCTTATGTTGCTTTTTTTTTTTTTTTTTACAAGTGCAGCTTTATCATTTAAGTCTCAGGATTGGGAGAGAAGCATAAGGACAGAGGCAGAGGCTATATGAAGAATACGTACAGCTCTTACGTTGCCCAGGCACCTCAGTTCTCTTCCATTAAGCCTTTTACACTATATAGGTAGCAGCAAAATTTTAATTTCACCTGCTTTATCCAACCCACCCCTACAATGGACAGGGGAAGTTCAATGGAGAGTGCAGTAAAGCTGCTATACAGTCGCCCCTTAGTATTCGAAGGGCATTGGGTCCAGGACCCCCTACAGATACCAAAATCATGGATACTCAAGTCCCTTGTGTACAATGGCGTAGTACAGTCAGCCCTTGGTATCCAATGGTTCTGCATCCCCAGATGTGGAGGGCTGACTGTAATTACGGTTATAAACACCCTAATTAAAAAATGCATGGACGGTAGAGCTAGCCAGACTTTGAGGGCAATGGTTTGGTTGAGGGGTAGAGTGAACTTTGATGTTTGCCCCATACCCTCTGCATATTTGAGACCTCCCCAAAACCAAGCTTCATTTGTGGCACCTCAGGGTCTGTTAGCTTGCTGTTATTGACTGTATCTGAGAAATACAAGGACCCATCCCCACTGCCACTACTGTACATCTGAGCAACAACTAGTTATTCTTCAAATCTCAGTTTAAGCAAGAAGAGAGCTGTTTCTGCTACCCCAGATGGGGTCAGAACTCCCTCCTCTCAACCCCCAGAGCACTACTTGCACCCATAGTACATGGATGTGATACCTATCATAGTTGTTGGTTATGTTATTGTATGATTATTTGATTAATGCCTTTCTCTCCTAATAAGCTGAAAGGGCCATGGGCACAAGCCATTGCTTTCTTGTTCACCACTGTATCTGCAGGGCAAGCAAAGAGAGACTTCCAAATAGATAGCTGTTGACAGAATGACTTAAATAGATGAGTACATACATTTTTTCATTCTTCCCCTGAATTGAGCACAGGAATGCCAGTCATAGAACAAATGAGATCCTGTTATATTCTTAAGAGAATTTTTGGTTCTCTTGATAACAACTTTCCTTTCAAAATTATTTCTACATATTTCCTGTTTTTAACATACTTTTTAGAAGCATGAAGTTACCAGCAATGGAAAGGATTTAGATAACTTGACATATTAGATATGTCAAGTTAAGATTAGACATTTAGATAACTTGACATACTTGCTATTAACGTGCACTAGAAAAAAAAGTCAAAATTTAAAAATATATTAATATAGATATGTAAATGTATGTGTGTTTGTGTATCCTGCTCATTAGATTAAATAGGGATAGAAAGAAAGGAAAATCTGTTTTTTGGTTTTTTTTTTAGAACAGACTCTTTCACATCATGGAACAGAGGGACACTTTTCTGTGATTTCCTTACTCCTTTATTGGGCTTCAAGTCAGAAATGTCACCCATCTTTCTAAGTGCCTTCTTTATCCATCTCAAATATAACTTTCCCCGATGACAGATAAATGTGTGTGAATGGATCAATGCAAATGTATCGCTATTACTTGGGAAATTATTCAGAGTATGCCCTCCAATGTGAGGCTGGGTAGAATAAACCTTAAATGCAAAAAGATAATGCCTTTTTCTTAGCACCTTCTGTTCAGTGGCAAATTGCCATATAGAGGACTTTAATAAACACTTTCAAATAGTAGGGATGGTTTTCCTGAATCTGCTTTCTTTCTTTTCCTCTAAATGTTGGGGGCAAATGGAAATAAATTTGGATTTCTCAAAAAGGACCCAGAACACATTGATTAGTTTTCTGTAAAATTCTGCCATTAAGATGTTAATGACAAAGAGCAGTAGAAGGTATGCTTTAAAAGGGGAACAATATAAAGACATAAAACAACTATTCATAAAAGCAGAAAATAAAATGTAATTTTGTGTCCTGAAGAAAATTAAAACAATAAAATTGGTTTATCCTTCAATCTTATGCTCCACATATGCTTCTTTGAGTTCCTAACCCACTGTTGTCTTTTCGTTCTCTTTTGTTTACTAAAAGCTCCATGATTGTGAGAGTCTGACGTGGTTTTCATTTACTTGCTTTTAGATTCAGAATTGGATGCATCATTTGAATAAAACTCATTCAGGCCTCATTCACATGTTCTCTATTGGAAAATCATATGAGGGAAGATCTCTTTTTGTTTTAAAGGTAAAAATAAGAAATTAGTAACTAAATATTTACTAAACATTCGTCGTTTTCAGCTTTGACTTATGGGGAAAAGAAACGAAATGGCATTTCATCGTGTCTCATATTTAACCTCATCTGGTAATTTAAGAAAAAATTTCCCCCCTTAGGTTTTTGAGCCATATTTAATTTTTGCCATTGAGTATTCCAAAGAATACTGTTTCTAAAACAGTATTTATGCACTTCAAAAATAATGACCAACATTATTTGTGAGTTGGTGCTGCTTACAATGAACCAGTGCAAAACTACAGAAATGTGTAAGAAGGTATACGTCATTCCCAGCCCTTGAGCCTGCGTTCTCTTTCAGCCACTGAGCCATCTCTTCTCTGCCAAAGATCTAAAAAGATTTCCCTGCATCACTGTCTCTACTTCCTCAGCAACCATTCAGACCTTGACTCCCTGGCCTTTGCCCTCACAACACCTCTAAAACATCTGTGATGACCCCTACTTGGTTCTCCTCTCGTCTCAGACCATCCCCTCAGGTCTCCTCCAATGGCTCCTCTCCCCTTGTTCTTTCCTTACATGCTGGTGGCCCCAGGATTCCCTCCTCAGCTGTGCTCTCCCTCTCCCCACCCTGCCTGGATGGGCACATCCACCCCATGGTTTCAACAGTCATTCCAGACTTTTCTGTTCAGTGGAGTCTGCTCCCTGGTACTTAGTGGACGTTCATAGCTCATTGCCACCTTGCCATCATCATCTCGATACTCACCAAAGCACCTCAGACTCAGGATGGCAGTGCCGTGCTCCGGTCAGGAAACATGAACCATCCTGAATTCCTCTCCTTTATTCTCATCACTTATTTAAATCTAACATGAAGAACTGACAATTCTTTCTTCTAACTTTTGGATTTGTCAAAACCTCTTTTCTTGGCCTCACTGCTATTGCCCTAGCTTGTTTCTGGATCTGTTCTCCCTGGACTATTGCAGTCACAGCAGCCTCAGGACTGAACTTCCCTGTGAGTCCCCATCCTCTACCCTCTCGTCCATCTACACACACACACCTCCCATGGAATACAGGATGAAGCCTTATCTCTGTTACTTAGTATCCAGGAATTTCATGTGTCTTCTGCCTCTGTGTCCAGCTTCATCTGCCATTCTTTCCTCATACCCCAGAAGCAGCTGCTCAAACACGGTGCGCTCAGATTCTCTTCCAAGCTTGAGATGCCTTCTTCCATTTGCCTGCCGGGCAAGCTTCAAGTCTTGCTCAACTCTTCAAGGGCTCCTCTTTTGCTCCACAGGGAAATGAGACATAGCCCCCGAGTTGCCAAAGTAACTTACATATATTCACATTATAATGATTAATTGCTCGTGTGTCTGCCCTCCCCTACTACCGTATAAATTCCTTGTCTTCTCATCTCTGAATCTCCAAGGCCAAGCACTGTGTCTGACATTAAAAAGGATTTCCTAAAGCATTAGTTGAGTGAATTAATGAATGAATGAAAACTAGATCCCCTATCATGTCAAAAGCCATCAACTGATAACTGGGTTAGAAACCGTATTATAAATGAAATTGATATAATAGGATAATAAAGAAAAGTCTGTCACTTGACTCTACAAATCATTTTGTGTTTCCCTTTTGTATTGTAATAAAATTTGACTTTCTCTACATATAAGGCATAGCTATTTCTTTAATAGATATTGCTTGGGAATACGTCTGATTCCCTGCATGGGGAAGGCAGTGGAGAGAAACAGGGCAAGGATGAGGGAGAGGGAGGGAAAAAATTAGCTTCTTACTTAAGTCACATATTATATGAAAATGGAGAAGAAAGCCTATTTAAGCAATTGCATTTTCCTTGTGTATTTTCTACTTCTCTGATTCGTAATTAAGACAATAAATTTATTCTTTCTGCATAAACAAGCCTGGACTTCTGAAATCGATAGGAAATCTGTCTTTTTTATGGGTTACTTAATGAACCCAACTCTAGTGAAGTATTATGCTGAAACCATATTAAATTATGCTGGTCAGTCAATCCAAAAATAAAAGACTGCATTGGTTACTGTGAATACTCTTGTTTTCAGCTGGGCAGAAGATCACGAGCTTACAAAAGAGCTGTCTGGATAGACTGCGGTATTCATGCAAGAGAATGGATTGGTCCTGCCTTTTGTCAGTGGTTTGTAAAAGAAGTAAGTTAAACCCTTTACAGAGTGTCCATTCTCACTAGCCAGTGTTTTTATTCTGCTCAAGGAACAAAACTGGGAATGTGAAGCCAGCGATATCTGATGGAATGACAGTAACACCGTGATTTTGTGGGTTTCTTCTATGTTTATGAAGGCCTCTCAAAACCCTGGCTCTGTTTATCTTCAGCTCTGCCCTTGGAGGTGGGAATTACCAACCCTCATTAAAGAGAAAGGACCTGAGATTCAGAGCGTTTATGAATTCGTGACAAATTAGGAACCAACCATAGTAGCTGATATATAGCAAAAGGCTACAAATCCAATTTATGGTGTTCCAGACAGTTTCTCGTGTGATATTCTCTTGTCTTCTCCATCAAAATGATCTCATGTATGCTACAGCAATAAAGAGATGAGCAAGTGACTGCATTTTGCCCTCCTGCTATGGATCTGTGATTTAGACACCAAAGACCTTTAGCATCTGTGCATTTAACATTCTCTGTTTCAGTACTTTTCAGTGACTCTAATGGTTGATGATTCATGGTGATTTCTCATTTTCTGAAGGCTTCATTTAAGTCATAAGCCCTCTAAGGCTAGTGTATTGAGGGGGTTCTTATCCCAAGAGTGGGCCAACCTCATGGATGAACATCTTCATATGTTCTGATATTTTTCTACTGTCAAGAATGCAATGACTTTCATGGTTTTTTATAACCTTTACTTCTTAGTATTTTTTTTTTTTTTTTTTTGCGGTACGCGGGCCTCTCACTGCTGTGGCCTCTCCCGTTGCGGAGCACAGGCTCCAGACGCACAGGCTCAGCTGCCACGGCTCACAGGCCCAGCCGCTCCGCGGCATGTGGGATCTTCCCGGACCGGGGCACGAACCCACGTCCCCCGCATCGGCAGGCGGACTCTAAACCACTGTGCCACCTGGGAAGCCCACTTCTTAGTATTTTTTTTTAAAGACTCCTAAAAAAAGCCAACGACTAGTACTGGTAATAACAGTGAAGAAGTCTAAGGGAAGGAAGGTTCTTAGCCAGAAAAAAACCCCTACAAATTACTCATAGAAAACCATTAAGGATACAAAAGATATTTAAATATTTCAGTTATATTTCACTATGTTTTATGGGAAAATTATGTGACCTAGTAAGGTTTATTATTTTGAAGGCTCTCCTAGTCTTAGAAAATATGCCCCACAAATATCAATACTGGGGGGCTTCCCTGGTGGTGCAGTGGTTGAGAGTCCACCTGCCAATGCAGGGGACACGGGTTCAAGTCCTGGTCTGGGAAGATCCCACATGCCGCGGAGCAACTAAGCCCGTGCGCCACAGCTACTGAGCCTACGCTCCAGAGCCTGAGAACCACAACTACTGAGGCTACGAGCCACAACTACTGAAGTCCGCGCACCTAGAGCCCGTGCTCCACAACAAGAGAAGCCACCGCAACGAGAAGCCCGCGCAACCGCAACAAAGAGTAGCCCCCACTCTCCACAACTAGAGAAAGCCTGCGTGCAGCAACAAAGACCCAATGCAACCAAAAATAAATAAATATAGTTTTTAAAAAGTCAATACTGTATTAATTTGTAAAATCTGCCTCTCTACCACAACCAAACCCACAAAAGTATTCTTAATTTTATAATGTAATAATAAAATTTTCAAACTATTCCCACTCAGCACATTGAGCAATTCATATTCTCTTAAAATACCATTTCATCCCGGTAGGATAAATGCAAAAGCTAACAAATTGTTAACTCTACCACCTTGCATTAAATATCCATTGTATACATACAACATATTGTCTGCTGTCTTGAGTTTCAAAAGGAAAAGGGGCAAAATGGTTAAGAATAGAACATCTATTGTTTATAGTCTATGGTCCAGTGTATTATTGTAGAACATAAGAATGTATCTCCCAAACATTTTACCTCACCCCCACATGTGCAACTTCTTTATAACACCTAAATTTACTTTATTTGTTCATGTGGTAATTGTCTCTCTCTTCCTATACTAATGCCAAAGGCAGAAACTCTATTTATCTTGTTCATTGCCAAATCCCCAGTACCTAGAACAACACTTGGCACTTAATAGTGCTTCAGTTATTTGTGAATGAATGGGAGTGTGAGAATCCAGTGGTTATGATATGGAAAGATTTCTGGGAGATTACTTACAGTTCATCTCCTAAGGATATGGTACCACTTGGACTTTTGCAGTGCACAATCTGTACAGCCATACACAGCAGCCCTAGAACCCAAGCTAAATTTCCAAGGAAGAGGAGGACACAGTGTAACCACAGAAAAAGGAACAGGCATGTATGGTGACTATCAGTTGAGGGTAGTTCATTTTGGAGCAAGAGCAAGAAGCATCAATTAAGATTAGGCTCCAGGGAATTCCCTGGTGGCGCAGTGGTTAAGAATCCACCTGCCAAGGCAGGGGACATGGGTTCGAGTGCTGGTTCAGGAAGATCCCACATGCCACAGAGCAGCTAAGCCCACGTGCCACAACTACTGAGCCCGCATGCCACAACTACTGAAGCCCGTGCGCCTAGAGCCCATGCTCTTCAACAAGAGAAGCCACCACAATGAGAAGCCCATGCACCACAACGAAGAGTAGCCCTCGCTCACTGCAACTAGAGAAAGCCCGCACACATCAGTGAAGACCCAACGCAGCCAAAAAATTTCTTTAAAAATTAAAAAAAACTTAAAAAAGAATAGGCTCCATTTCACCAAAGCTGAGTGAGGAAAGGCTTCTCCTCCCTCCTGCACCAAGCCAACTTCAAGCACACAGATGAGTCTATTTCTGGGCCTCTGCTACCCTTTCCATACCTCTCTTACTCTTGCTGTTTATGGCTGTCACTTACCCCTCCATTTAATCAGGAACATTTCCCATCTGAGTCAGGGAAGCAACAGAAGTGGAAAAAAAGGAGGCCTACGGGTCACTGGTTCCAGTGTCCTTGTGGAAGCAATGGGGCTGCCACATGATAGCAATGACTGGTGATAGCATCACAGGCTTGTAAGAAACGTTCTCATCTTGGCTTGAAGCCCCTGTTCCCATAGAATGGCGGTGTTGGGGCCAGAGGGAATGGGGACTTCAAAGATTTAGGTAACCTTAAGTCTGCCCAGCATTGAAGCATCATATCTTATACACTAAGTCCCTGGTTAAATCCTGCCATCCACAGATGGCAGGGGGTGTCTGGTCCAAGAGGGGCTCCAGGCAGTGTCCCTTCCAGAGGTCACCTCCCCTCCACCACCAAAATCCCAAGACAGGCTCCCAGGCTCTCAACTCCTCTAATTTCCATGGCACCTCTGGGGGCACCAGGGAATCTCAAGGCTCTTTCTCCCAGGAGACCCTAAGAGGCTATGTCAAGCCCTCTCTTGGCTGACACACACCACACTGCTGATTGTCTCCTTCTGCCTTTGCCCCTCGTTGGCACATGAGACCTCTCAGAAAGACACGTGGTGAACAAGGACCCAGGTTCCCTTTTCTTACATGTTTTACTCCAATCTGGCAGTCTTTTCTACCATCTCTTGATTTCCCTGGAATTTCAACCCCCAAAGAAGGGGATGGTGTCAGAAGCCAAAATTTTGGCTTCTTTCCTTTGTTTTCTCTCTCTCTTGGTGTTTTCCCCCAAATTCAACAACTTAAAACAACAAACATCTATTACTTGATAGTTTCTGTGGGTCAGCAATCCAAGCACAGCTTAGCTGGGTGCCTCTGGCTAAGGGTCTCTCACAAGGCACAGTCAAGGTGTCAGCTGGAGCTTTGGCCATCTCAAGGCTTGTATGGGGGATCTGTTTCTGAGCTCACTCATGTGGCTGCTGGCAGCCTCAGGTCCCCCAGGGCTGTAAGCCAGAGACATCAGTTCCTTGCCACGTGGGCATCGCCATAGGACAGCTCACAACCCAGTACCTGGCTGCCGTCAGAGCAGATGAGAGGGAGAGAGCGTGAACAGGCCCAAGATGGAAACCACAGTCTCTTTGTAACCTAATTTCAGAAGTGACATCCCCCCATCACTTTTGCCATATTCTGTCCATTAGAAATGAGTCACTAGGTCCAGACTGTATTCAAGGGGAGGGCATTACACAAGAGCATGAATGCCAAGAAGTGGGAATCACTGGGGAGGCTGCCAACCATACTTTGGTGGGACTTTTCCCACAGCCACCACTATAATGTTTGCATCCTTACTCAAATGTGAACTGGAAGAAAACTCATCGAGTCCTAAATCCTGATAGAACAGCAGATTGCACAGAGGTTACATGCACACATTTAGTAGTCAGACAGCCCTGGGTTGGAATGCCAGCTCTGCCATTTACTAGCTATATGACCTTGGTGGGCAAGTCGTTTAACCTCTCTGAACTTCAGTATTAATAATATGTGACACACTGGTTTATTGGGAGGATTAAATTATATAATTCTTGTAAAGGACTTAACAGAGTGCTTGGCGTATAATAAGCAGTTAATTAAATCAACTCAGTAGTGGTAGTAGTATCAGTAAGTTCATATTTTAAAATAACCAAAGAGAATCATTAGAAAGGAGTCAACAAGGATATGAAAGAACTCAACAACACTATCAACCAACAGGATCTAAGTCACATTTATGGATCACCCAACCCAACAACAGCAGAATACACATTCTTTTCAAGTGCCTACGGAACATACACCAAGATATATCATAACATGGACCAAAATACAAACCTCAACAAATTTAAAGGAAATGAAATCAGACAGACTGTGTTTTCTGACCACAATGAAATCAAACTAGAAATTGATGGCAGAAAGATAACAGGAAAACCTCCAAACACTTGGAAATTAAGATGCTTCTGAATTATCCATGGGTCAAAGATAAAATCTCAAGGGAAATTTTAAAAATACATTGAACTGAATGAAAATGAAAATACAACATTTCAAAATTTGTGGGACACAGCTAAAACAATGCTAAGAGGGAAATTTATAGCACTAAAAGCATACATTAGAAAAGAGGGAAATTCTCAAAACAATAATCAAAGCTCTCACCTCAAGAAC